TACCTTTAAGAAAGAAGCATGTAACTTGCCGCTGCATGGAATCAATCAGCGCAGTTTTTTGAGAGTTTCAGTTCCAACCTGAGAGGTGGAGAGCAATTGTCAGCTTATTTAAGAAGAAGGAGTTCAGCCAGATAGAAAAGAAGACTGAAATGTTGCTCCTGTAATCCACTACAGAGCAACTGAGCCAGCTACGTGAGGCAGAGGGCATTTGCCAGCCAATTTGAAATAAGAAGGCTTCTAGCCATATAAAAAAATAATAAAAAAGAGGACTGGTTGCTACTATTAAGAAATTAATTAACTGGCTTGCTCCTAGTACAAATACTTGAAATGGAACTGGAAGTAAGTTTAAAATTGTCAACGTTAATAAGTTAAAAAGTAACCATCTTCAAAAATGTATAAATTAGAACAAAACTATTTTCCATTCAGCTTCGTGTTTCTTTCTATTCTAAATAATCATGTTTGTTTTAGAATAATTGGAAAAAGAAGTTAATCTGCAATAATTTGAGGAAAATAAAAAAGAAGTTAATGCTGCCACTATTTGAAGGAAGCCAAAGAAGTAGTTAAACTGTATCAAGAGGCTGACACCTTCTAACATAACAGGACTGCTCCTGAGGAAGATTGTTGAAACGAGTATAAAACTGGGTGCTCATAGAGGATTTTGGACTTTTTCTTGAACATTTTAGAATTTCCTGAGCTACATTGCAAAAGTTTTTATTATTAAATGTTATTGTCAGTTTCATCACAGTGTTTCTTTGTGTCGATGTATTTCCCTTCTTTGGTTTTCCCACCTGGAGGTTGGCAACTCTAGTGTTTGTAGTGCACCCTATGTGAATCTCTTCTAGGTTTGTCAGCCTCCAAGTTGGACCTGGAGTTCTCATGGAATTAATAGTAATTTACAGGCTTCAGAGGCCAAAGTTTGCCCGGAGAAAATGACAGGGCTCTCCCTTCCTCAGGCTCTGCCTTCTAAATCTCTAGGAACTTCCCAGCCCAGAGTTGGCAACTTGATTTATGCAGTAGCCAAATTGCTCACTCACAACTTGAATGCTGGTAGCTCACAAAGTAGAATTTTTGCTCACAGGACTCCACAGCTTAGAGGGAGCATTGATGGTAACCATAGAGTTTTTGGCCAAATGTTAGAGCGTCCCCTGAACAACGTGCCCGGCACGAAGGTCCTGGGGAGCTGTGTGGAGCCCCCCACCGACAACCCAGCTGACAGAAAGCATAGCCTGCCCAAGGGCACCTGCTGAATTTCTCAGCTGAGGGGAGACTTGAACCCAGTTCTGCCAGTTCCCAGGCTAACACTAACTGCTTCACTCTGCTGGCTCTCCAGTGCTGACTGTTCTGTATTTCTCTTTCCCCGGCAGAAAAATTCAACACATACGTGACCCTCAAAGTGCAGAATGTGAAGAGTACCACGATTGCAGTGCGGGGAAACCTTCCATGCTGGGAGCAAGATTTCATGTTGTAAGCCATTCACGGTTGTGGGCAGGAGGGCTGGGCACGGGCATGAACTGGGCGCGGGGCCTACAAGTAGACCTGAAACTTATTTGAAACATGTCGAAAAACTTAAAATCAAGAGCAACTTGGTGGCTCTACACCTAATGAATATATTGGGACTGTATTGGAGTTCACGGAACAACGCCAAAGTGTGGTGAAGTGCATCATGTTGTTGTTTCTCTAGCAGTCTGCAGGGAGCGCTGTTGGGTTTTAACTGTTCGGTTTAAAGCCTTAAGAAATGTGATGGGCTTCCGGTCGAGCTAAGATGGAGGACTAACGCATTTCGCGATCGTGCGAAGTGAGCGACGACCACTTCTGACAGATTGGGCAGTTATTAGCCCAACGCATCGCTCCCCAGCGAGGGGGGGGGCAAGCAGGCAGCGGCGCCCAAGAGGGAGTATGAGATTGGCGTGATTGAGTTTCGGAAGAAGCTAAATCAGGCTTTGATCTCCTCCCGCGAAGAGGGCAAGTGCCAAGCAACTCTCCAGTGGCCGTTAGAACCGGAATACCGGTTTAAATCTTCCATCAGCCGATCTCTTGAAGAAGGGCAACAACAGTGAGTGAAAAGAAGCAATGCAAAACCCGATTTTGATCATGCTAGATAACAATAAACGTACCGCTTACCTGAATTAAGCTATGAAGTAATCTGAGATAAGCGGTTGAGCGGATAATGAATAGACATTCCCAGAAATCCGATTCCGGAAAAGAAAAAAGTTGATTGAAGGCTTTAAAATCGTAAAAAAGTATATTGTTTATCATTCCTGTGGTGAGGACTGAGATGTGCGCGCAGCCGTAAAATCGAAACTGACGAAGTACATCGCGGGAAGAGTAGGCTTGTGTAACCAAAGAAGAGTTCCGAGTGGGTTGA